GCCGGTGGAGCTGCTGCTGGTGCTGTGGACCCGGACGCTGGAGCTCCTACTGGTGCTGAGGACCCGGCCGCTGGAGTCCCTTCTGCTTCTGGAGACGCTGCGCGGCCGCGACCGTACTTCGTACCGCTCCTTCAGCAGGTTCTTGGGCAGGCTCCTCCTCCTTGTCCTCCTCCCTCTGTAGAGTGTCCTCCGCCTGTCCAGCCGCAGTCACAGTTACCGCCTGCCTCGCCTCTCCCTGCTCCCTCTCCTTATGCTGGTCCCACAGGAGGTCTTACAGAGCGTCGTGAGCCTGAGTCTCGTCCTGCGTCGCCTGTTCGTCCTGCTCGCACTGGTAGTCGTGTCCGTCGTGAGCGTCCTCCTCCTGTCCCAGGCACTCACTACATGACTCTGCGTCCCTCTACTGCTCCTCGGCGTGTCCCTCTACCGTCTCCTCCTGCGTCCTCTTTGCCTGCCGTTCCGGACCCTGAGTCTGACCGGTATCGCGCTGAGCACCCTACAGTCACGCGTCTCCTCGCTACTGTTGTCACTGACCCTACCTTTGAGTCCTCGGCTGCGTCTGCTCTGGTCGCTGAGTTGGTTGACTTTGCTGCTGCCTGTCGTCTAGACTACGCTGCTAGCCTTGTTGCTGAGTCAGAGTCTGCGTCTGTCTGTCCTCCGTCCGTCGGGGGTGAGTGTGCTCTTGGCACGGATGTCCTTGAGGACAGGCAGGAGGACTTTGACTCTCTTGCGGCTGCTGTACCTCATCTCGTGGCCTGGTTGCTTGCCCCTGAGGGAGACCCGGATGCACTAGACATCCCCACTCCGCGCACTTACGCAGAGGCGATCTCGGGTCCCTACTCCTCTCAGTGGCAGACAGCCATGGACGCAGAGATGGCATCCTGGAAGTCCACAGGCACCTACGTCGACGAGGTTCCCCCTCCTGGGGCGAACATCGTCGATGGCATGTGGATTTTCAGGGTGAAGCGGCCGCCAGGTTCTCCGCCTGTCTTCAAGGCTCGTTACGTTGCTAGAGGCTTCAGTCAGCGTCAGGGGGTCGACTTCTTCCAGACCTTCTCCCCCACCCCGAAGATGACCACTCTTCGGGTTCTGCTGCACGTTGCTGCTCAGCGTGACTACGAGCTTCACTCTCTTGACTTCAGCACAGCGTTCCTGCAGGGCAGCCTGCACGAGGAGATCTGGCTGCGCCGCCCACCTGGCTTTACTGGGTCGTTTCCCCCTGGTACCCAGTGGAGTCTCCGCCGGCCAGTCTACGGTCTCCGCCAGGCGCCACGTGAGTGGCACGACACACTGAGGACTACTCTTGCGGCTCTTGGGTTCGCGCCGTCTACTGCTGACCCGTCGCTGTTTCTGCGCACAGACACGTCGCTGCCGCCGTTCTACATTCTCGTGTACGTCGACGACTTGGTCTTTGCTACTGCTGACACTGAGGCACTCGCTCGTGTGAAGTCGGAGCTGCAGAAGAGACACACCTGCACTGACCTGGGTGAACTGCGTAGCTACCTTGGCTTGCAGATCACCCGGGACAGAGCTCGCCGCACCATCACCCTGACTCAGTCACACATGGTGCAGCAGGTCCTTCAGCGCTTCGGCTTCCAGTTCTCCTCACCACAGGCCACACCTCTGGCTACCAGCCACTCGCTCTCAGCTCCACCTTCGGACGAATCCGTAGAGCCGAGTGGCCCGTACCCAGAGCTTGTAGGCTGCCTCATGTACCTGATGACTTGCACGCGACCTGACCTCGCGTACCCTCTTAGCATCCTTGCTCGTTACGTTGCGCCTGGGAGACACAGGCGAGAGCACTGGGAGGCTGCTAAGAGGGTGCTGCGTTACCTGTGCAGTACATCAGGCATGGGGCTGGTGCTTGGAGGACGCGACAGAGTTGTCCTCACTGGTCACTCGGACGCCTCTTGGGTGGACGACCTGGCTACGCAGCGGTCGTCACAGGGTTACACCTTCAGCCTAGGCTCAAGTTCTGTCTCGTGGCGGTCCACCCGCTCTTCCTCTGTTCTCGGTTCTAGTTGTGAGGCTGAGATCTACGCCACAGCCATGGCTGCACAGGAGTTACGCTGGCTCACCTACCTGCTGACTGACTTGGGAGAGCGGCCTAGTTCTCCTCCAGTTCTGTACGGTGACAACAAGGCGGCTCTTGCCTTGTGTCAGGAGCACAGACTGGAGCACAGGACGAAGCACATTGCTCTTCGCTACTTTCTTGCTCGAGAGCTTCAGCAGCGTGGTCAGCTTCGGCTTGTGTACGTGGACTCGAAGGCCAACACTGCTGATATCTTCACCAAGGCGCTCCCGCCTAGTGATCATCAGCGGCACTGTACTTCTTTAGGCCTTGTGTCCACGTTTCCTCACTTGCTCACTGCTTGACATTCTTTGTACTGTACTTTATATATATCTTGTTGCTTGCTTGCTAGGTTTTGATCACTGTGTTGTTTGTCTTGTACTATATCTAGCACTGCATGTGAACTGGCCTTGTGGCCTTTACTTGTGCTCGGAGTGTGGTGACGTTGTGATCCACCCTGGGCGTTGCTTTGCTTTGCTGGACTGGTCTTGTGACCCTTTGTTCTCCCCCACTTTGCCTATGGGGGTGTGTTAAACTGTAGTATGCTTGTAGGCTGTAGTGGGGTAGCCAATATGGGGTACAACCCCAACTAGGGTTTCATATTTGTACCCAAAACTTCTGCTAGTTTATCATTCTTGCCTAGTGATTTTGACATAAGCGCACCTGCGCTTTTATCCGGGGTAATACGGTAATCTCTTTAGAGAACGGCCATTCAGGAGGAGCACCCTTAGCCCAGGGTGTAGGCCCTCAGAAGTCAGACTTTTTTCTCTGATTTGGGCTTTTTTCTCTGATATTTCAGATTTTTTTTCCTGTGTACTCTGATAAAATCAGACTTTTTTGGGCCTCAACTCTGTAATTTTCATACCTTTTTTAAGGCTAACTCTGAGAGTTCAGAGTTTTCTGAGAGTGTACTCTGATCATTCAGAGTACAAACGCGTCCTTGACTGGTGATTCGCACTGCCATCGCAAAATCGCCTTGACACAGCAAATCCGAGCCTTACATCACAAGATTTTCGCCCAATCATAGCAAAATCGCCCTGACACAACAGATTTGCGTTGTCAGAGCACCACAATTTTCGCCCAATCACAGCAAAATCGCCCTGACATTGCACATTCGCCTTTTCACACCACAAGTGTTAATTGATATAGCATATCTTATAACTGCCTACAGCATGCTAGTGTATTAGTTTAGTAATTAGAACCAACTGCTGGTGGTGTACCCCTTTCCCCTTCCTCTCTGTCCTATTTGTACTCCCAACTTCATAATGAACCCCCCCTTTTTTGGCCATCTCCATCCTTCTCGCCACTTTCCTAGCTCCTAAGTCCAGAACCTTAAGCATGGTTCCTAATTTACTATGACATGGCATTAGAGCTGGAAATTTCCTTGGACCTAAGAATTATGGGCCCACCAATAGCGCAGCCCGTTAGCACGCCCCGTGCTGGCTGCCCCATCCCGCAATGCTCGCCCCGTCGCGCTCTGCCCGTGGCGAGCGTGCCAACGAGCCGTGTCGAGCGCGCCAGCGACAGTCGCCAACGGCGCTCGCCAGCGACAGCGCGGACGCCAGCACGAACGGCGGGCGCTAGCGCCAGCGCCAACGGCGGACACCAGCGCCAGCGCCGACGCCAACGCACAACGCCATTGGCGGACGCCAGCGCCAGCGCCGACGCCATCGCCCTCACCATCGCCACCTCGCTCCCCGCCTCCGCACCTGCTGCTGCCGTGCTATTCTACGGTGGGCATTGCGGGGGGGAGGTGGCGGGGCTTGCGCCTGTGGCTACGGGGGTGCTTAAGCCCCCGTGAACCTGCACCTTCAGCGCCCACCGCCTCTCCCTCACTGCCGCATCTGCTACTGTGGGGGGGAGGGTGAGAAGGTGGCGGGAACGTGCTTACAGCACCTACCGCCTCCTCCTCTCTTCCCTTGCCGCCCTTGCTGCATTGGGGGGGAGAGGGAGGGGGTGTGAGGGTGGCGGGTATGATCAGTAAACCGCCGCATCTGCACTTTTCTCCTTACTCCAGCAGCCGCCTCTCCACTCCGCCTCCTCTCATCCGCATCATGACACCGGCAGCCTACGCCCTCCAAATTAGCCCTCCGCCCTCCGTTCTGGCGTTCACAGGTGCTGCCGCTCAGGCACCTCTGTTTCTGTGCCTATCCCAGCTACATGTGCCGCTCTCCAGGCGACCTGGTGCCAGACACCACTAGCTATAGCCGTAGGCAGTTACGGGGGTGTGTTAATTGATATAGCATATCTTATAACTGCCTAAAGCATGCTAGTGTATTAGTTTAGTAATTAGAACCAACTGCTGGTGGTGTACCCCTTTCCCCTTCCTCTCTGTCCTATTTGTACTCCCAACTTCATAATGAACCCCCCCTTTTTTGGCCATCTCCATCCTTCTCGCCACTTTCCTAGCTCCTAAGTCCAGAACCTTAAGCATGGTTCCTAATTTACTATGACAACAAGATTCGCCCTGACACATATATTCGCCCTGTCAGAGCATGTTTTACCGAAAAACCCCCTTAGTGTAGCATGTTTCGGTAGCAGATGAATGAAACATTGAATACACTTTCGATGAAACGTTGAATACATTGATTTAGAACGATCAGACTTTTTTTTTAAGACACTCTGACATTTCAGCCTTTTTTTTTTTACCCAAGTCTGAGATTTTCAGACTAAAATTGTGTACTAGTCTGACGAATCAGACAGGCCTAAAACGAATCTGAGGGCCTAGCCAGGGTGGTTTCTAGGATGTAGAGTACATGCCTCTGGATATGTATGTGCCCTTAATGGTCTAATATTTGTACTTGAATGTATTGTTATGGATTTGTGCATCATAAACCCTAAAAGTTAGAATTGAATAGATAAAATGTCAAAATTGTGAAAGCCTTCACTTAGATCACAAGGGGCATAATTGTGTTGCCATTGGTTCAAAATACTATACGTTGAACCTAAACAGCATGACGTCCCCCTCTTGCACGACATACTCCTTGCCCTCTGCTCGCAGCTGCACACGAACACGGCACGGACAGAAACGGATTCAGCAACAGTGGGAGAAGAGAAGCATGCATGGAAACAGAGAAGCACACATGGCAGCAGGGAAGCCTGCATGGCAAGTTGGAAGCACGTATGGCAAGGGAGAAGCATGCGCTTGCAAGTTGAGGCAATGTGAGTTGAGTTGAGTTGGGGTAACTCACGAGGCCTTTCTCCTTGGCAGCTGTGTACGAGCCACTCGCCACAAAGTCATCGTATGATATCTGCATGTCCGCATGCACGCCCACATGCATGCCCACATGCACGCCCACATGCATGCCCACATGCACGCCCACATGCATGCCCACATGCATGCCCACATGCATGCCCACATGCATGCCCACGTGCACGCCCACATGCATGCCCACATGCATGCAGAACAAGGTGAGCCTCATCAAGATACAAGGCTGGCACGGCTGGCCAATGCTGTGGTGGGCGAGGAGAGGCGTGAGATGCAATGCGATGCAGCCACAAACAAGGGATTTGTGGCCACACCATGTGCTGCTTGGAATCACTAGTGGTGGTGGGATGGGCTGACAGAGCGAGGTACAAGGAGAAGCAAGGCGGCGAGGGAGCAAGGCATTGAGGGAGAGAGGGAGAGAGGGAGAGGGTGGGAGGGGTGGGGGCGGTACGGTCTCAGCGCGGATGAAGCCGCGCTCGAAGTCGGTGTGGATCACCCCCGCTGCCTGCGGTGCCGTCATGCCCGCGCGGATCGTCCACGCCCTCGTCTCCTGCACGCACACATGCACATTCAGTACGGGTTGGGTGCGGGGCAGTGCAGGCATGGGGCAGTGCAGGCATGGGGCAGTGCAGGCATGGGGCAGTGCAGGCATGGGGCATGGAAAGCCTCAATACTGAACGCTATGGCCTCCTATCGCCCCTCGCCACTCCAGCTCCCTTGCCCCTTGCACTGCAACCCTCCCCCCTCACCTCCCCCCCACTCCCCCCCCTCCCCTCACCTTCTCCCCCGCAGTGAAGTAGGTGCGCAGCCCTCACCTTCTCCCCCGCAGTGAAGTAGGTGCGCAGCCCTCACCTTCTCCCCCGCAGTGAAGTAGGTGCGCAGCCCCAGCAGGCGGTAGGTGGCCTGCACGAGGGCGGCCAGCCCGCCCTGCTGCACGCCCAGCGACGCCAGGTACTCCAACCGGTCCGCCTCGCCCAGCTCACACAGCTCCGCCTCCACCTGCCATGCCCCGCCCCGCCCCCGTGCCCCCGTGCCAAGGTGAGGGTGCATACAGTGAGGGTGGGTACAGTGAGGGTGGGTACAGCGAGGGTGAGTAGGGAGGTTGGGCAGAGTAACAGGCGAGCGTGGCATGGCAGTGGGAAGAAGCAACGGAGCAACGGACCTGCGCGGAGACGACGACACACTCGGCGCCTTCAGAGGAGGCGAGCTGGCGCACAGCAGCCACGTGCGGGTTGGGGGAGGGGTCTGCGAGGTCGCCCTCGCTGACGTTGGCGGCGTAGATGATGGGCTTGGCCGTCAGCAGGCACAGGTGCGCCACCAGCGCCGCGTCCTCCTGGCTCAGCGCCACACTGCGCGCCGCCCCCCCCGCCAGCAGCGCCTCCCTTATGCGCTCCAACGCCCCCGCCTCCGCCTCCTCCTGTGGAGGGGGGGGAGGGAAGTGGGACGGGGAGCGATGGGGGCATGGGAAGAGGTGAGCATGCACGTTGATCATGAGAGCGTTGAGCATGGGCAGGACGACAGGGGGTGGGCAAGCGGGAGTGAAAAGCCAATACAGCGGAGCAGGCGGGGGGCAGAGGGAGGAGGGAAGAGGGAGGAGGGCAGGAAAAAAGGTGGAAGGCGGCGAGCGGAGGGCGAGGGGCAGAGGGCGGAGGGCGGAAGGGGGGGAAGGTCTGACCCGGGAGCGAGCCTGGGGGTCCTTGGAGCGACTCTTGCTCAACCGCTCCATGCGCTTCTCTATCTGCCATGCCCAGTGCATGCGTGGTGGGCGGGCGGGGGGTGCATGCACCATGACATGACATCATGGCGCCGTGGCACAGAAACAGAATGCATGCGCTTAGTGTTGAACGAGTTACATGTGATGAATCAGCACGAGAAGCAGCTCCGGATCAGGAGCCCTGATGATGCAGCAGAAGCAGCAGCATGGGCAGCAGCAGGAGCAGAAGGAGCAACTGATGCGTGTATCTGCGAGAGGTGAGCTCCTCTCCATGTACTGGCCTGCGAGAGGTCGCTGAGGGCGAGTTCGAGGTTGATGACGTCCATGTCGGCCGTGGGGTTGACGGCGCCACTCACATGCACGATGTCACTGTCCTCAAAACACCGCACCACCTGTCGCCCTCCATGCACCCACCCACGCACACATGCCATTTAGTGACGCGGATGAGCAAGCGCAAGCAAGTGGCGATTGAGGATGACTTCAATGGCGCATCCATCCACCATCCACTGCCCAACCACGCGCGTGCCACTTGCTCATGCCATGCCACTTGCTCATGCCATGCCACTGCTCATGCCATGCCACTTGCTCATGCCATGCCACTTGCTCATGCCATGCCACTTGCTCATGCCATATCACTTGCTCATGCCATGCCACTTGCTCATGCCATGCCACTTGCTCATGCCATGCCACTTGCTCATGCCATGCCACTTGCTCATGCCATGCCACTTGCTCATGCCATATCACTTGCTCATGCCATGCCACTTGCTCATGCCATATCACCTGCTCATGCCATATCACTTGCTCATGCCATGCCACTTGCTCATGCCATGCCACTTGCTCATGCCATGCCACTTGCTCATGCCATGCCACTTGCTCATGCCATGCCACTTGCTCATGCCATGCCACTTGCTCATGCCATATCACCTGCTCATGCCATATCACTTGCTCATGCCATGCCACTTGCTCATGCCATGCCACTTGCTCATGCCATGCCACTTGCTCATGCCATGCCACTTGCTCATGCCATGCCACTTGCTCATGCCATGCCACTTGCTCATGCCATGCCACTTGCTCATGCCATGCCACTTGCTCATGCCATGCCACTTGCTCATGCCATGCCACTTGCTCATGCCATATCACTTGCTCATGCCATGCCACTTGCTCATGCCATATCACCTGCTCATGCCATATCACTTGCTCATGCCATGCCACTTGCTCATGCCATGCCACTTGCTCATGCCATGCCACTTGCTCATGCCATGCCACTTGCTCATGCCATGCCACTTGCTCATGCCATGCCACTTGCTCATGCCATGCCACTTGCTCATGCCATGCCACTTGCTCATGCCATGCCACTTGCTCATGCCATATCACTTGCTCATGCCATGCCACTTGCTCATGCCATATCACTTGCTCATGCCATGCCACTTGCTCATGCCATATCACTTGCTCATGCCATGCCACTTGCTCATGCCATGCCACTTGCTCATGCCATGCCACATGCCCTCATGGCATGGCAAGCTCATCATAGCTCGGTTCGTGGGCACGGCACCTCACCTGCACCACGGAGTCCACCTCACGGATGTGCGACAGGAACTTGTTGCCCAGCCCCTGCGAGCACGCACGCACGCCACGTGGGGGAGCACGCAGGAAGCAAGAGGGAGGAGCAGGAGATGGTAGTGAGTGGCAGAAAGCAGCACAGACATAAACGGTGCAGTCACTCAACCTCTCTGACACTCTCCCTCCACCAACCATGCCACAACAGCCCCCTCCCCACCCCACAGCACCTCACCCTGCCTGTCCCCTACTCCCCCTCCTGTTCCACCCCCTCCCCTCCCCCCCCCTCCCCCACCTCGCCCTGGCTGGCGCCCTTGACGAGCCCAGCGATGTCAACGAACTCCACCGTGGCGGGCAGCGTGCGCTTTGATGCCGTCAGGGCGGACAGCACGCCCAGGCGCGGGTCGGGCACGGCCACCACGCCCACGTTGGGCTCGATGGTGCAGAACGGGAAGTTGGCCGCCACCGCCTTGCCGTTCTCCACCTGCAAGGGTTGCCCGGAAGGGGGGGGGGGTGGCGTAGAGGCGACAGGGGGGGCATGGACGGTGTGCAGTGGGCATGCTGGGAGGGAAAGTGGGCAGAGTGCAGGCAGCGGGGTTGCTGAAAGAAAGGCAGCGAATTTAGGAGCCTTCAGAAACAGGAGGTGCGAGGTGGAGAGTCGAAGAGCGTTGACTCACGAGGGCGTTGAAGAGCGTTGACTTGCCAACGTTGGGCAGCCCCACGATGCCGCTGCGCAGCGCCATGCTCACCCGCGCGCCCCCCCGCCCCACCCCCGCCGCCTCCGAGAACGCCCGCGCTGCCGCCTGCTGGCGGGAGGTGGGTGATTGGGTGGAAGGGGGGAGGACGGGGGCAGGGGGGAGGGGAATTGTTGTAGGAGGTGGCATGGAGTGCGCGCGGAGGAGGTGCGGGAAGACGGTGCGGAGATGGCAGCGCCTAGGGTAACACACGTGCCACGGGGGACGAGTGGGGGCGGCGAATGGGCGGCCTAGCACGTGCCAAGCGACGACCCACCAGCGACGACCCACCAGCGACGACCCACCAGCGGCGCGAGGAGGCGCGGCGAGGCGACGAGGCCGTGAAGGCGCGCCTTGAGGCCCACCCCGACGCGCGCCGTGGCGCACGCCGCCACTGCCGCCGCCATGCCCGCTGCTGCCGTGCTGCGCGGCGCTGCGGCGATTCTCCTCGTGCTGAGAGGGCGAGAGGGCGAAGGCGAGAGGGCGTGAAGGGTGCGAGGGTAAGGGGCGAGAGGGAGGTTTAATGACGCGTGCGGGTGGAGGGAGGGGGAGGGCAGGCGCGCATACGCAGGGAAGGGAGAATGATGGTTGAGAGCAATGGGGGAGAGCGCTGGGGGAGAGCGGCAAGGGGAGAAGAGGTAAGGGCGGGGATGTGTGGTGGCGCGGCACGACGGAGGCAGCAGCGCGGTGAGGCACGACGGCTGAGGCGCGGCAAGGGGAGGGGTGTCCGGGGAAAGGGGGCAAAGAGGACACGCAAGAGGCGGGAAAGGCCAACACGAGCCGCGCGGACGCGACGGCAGCGGGCGAGGAACACGGCGTCGCGCTTACTCTGCCCGAGGGTGCGCGAGGAGAGCCGCGCAGACGAGCGGGGCGCGGAGGCGGCGGAAGACAGGAGGGCGGAAAGTCGCCAGGGGAGCGCGACGGTGGCCAGGGAACGGCGCGATGAAAGGGCAGCTGCTGCGTCGTGACAGCGTTTCGTTGATGGCACGCTATTTTTCTGGGGACAGCCCGCGCTGGGGTTTTGGGCGTTCAAGATTTGCAAGTTTGAACATGTGTTGTTGGAACGCGCGGAAGTCAATAACGAGAAGTTTTACACCTGATGCTCATTCTGAAGTCAATAACGCAAACTTTGCTTTAGCAAAGGGTGTGAAACTTTGCCATGGGATGAAATGGGACTATGTTGGGTCTGCTGGTAATATCTCAAAATATCTCACGAATGGACGGATGGCAGCGATAAGTAGTGTAATAAAGGGCTGCAATAAAAATAAAGGGGGCGGGGGGGAGGGGGGGAAGGGGTTTCTACTCTGCGTGCAACTATATGTGCCGAATTGCAAAAGGGACATGCAACGTGAATGGGCAACCAGATTCCCATAAATTAGATGAGCATAATGTCTATAAGCATTACGCATGATGAATAGCAAAGGGCCTGACTAGGAGGGAACCTCGGTCTGATAAGGTTGGGCGTTGGTCTGGAGTTGTTGACTCAAAAGGCGATGCACGTTACGATCCTCTTTCTCAAAGAAGAAAGTGTGCCGAATTGAATGACGAAGATGTTATTACATTTAACGAATAAATAATTATTCATAGCATAGATAGAGCGAACTGCTAGCTACGTGGGGTCCGCGAGATTGCGAAGATTAGGTGCTGGTTCGATGTTGTCGAACCCGAAGGCGACTCGAAGAACAATGCGAGATCGTCGAACCAAGCCTCGTCTTCCGAAAATCGGAATTGTACAAATACGGAGTGACCAAGTAAGTGTTGGAAACAGTGAATCTTAAGCGCCTCTGTCGTGTCGAAACATCACATCAGAAGCGAGGCAAACCATATCGAAACACCCACGAGTCAACCCTCGGAGGTTGAAAGAGGTTGCTGGAGGTTACGCGAAAGTCAAAGGTCAAGCGACCTTTGACCTGACAAGTGCAGCGCGACAGTTAAGGACACACAACTGACTCGTTACAGAGCAGTTGCCCGAGTCGTACTGTATCGAACCGCAACAGCAACAGTAAAGTAGTTATAACCGTATCCTTTCATATTCCTTGTATTATTATATAATCTTGTACTTCCTTGCTATAATCAATCTACTTTGCCCTCACATACCAGCGCAAGGTGGTTCACAATCTCTTCATTAAGCTTCCGCTGTTACAACATTATCCTGCCCAGAGTTCCCCCTTGCAAAGATCCTAAGGGCTATCTTCAGCCCAACATGGTATGAGAGCACACAGGGGAAACTCTACCACTATCAAGACATCAGAAGCATTGCAAGACATGGCAACACAGAAGGAAAGGAGTTCCTCTAACGGTTCTCCTGGCGCTACTCCTACTCCACCTCCTGCGTCTGGCCTGCAAACAGAGGAGGGTACGGCAACAAGACCAAGGGTGACGTCTACTGAGACTCCCGCAAACCACCCTGCCAACTTCGACCAGGACATGATGGAGAAATTCTTCTCCTTCATGTCCTTCTACGAGCAGCACCAGCAGTCGGGACCTGCACAGTCATACAACAGCAACAACAACGGAGCAACACCCATGAGCCTTGACGGGTCGTCATATGCGCGCGGAAATCAACAGCAGCAACCTACCTTCGCTCCGTACGAGCGCGGGTCGATCAGCTTCATGCCGCAGCCTTCACCTGGACAAGACAAACCACTGGACGCGTTACAAGTTCAATCACAATTCGCGCACGTTCTGAAGCTGCAAACGTCAAGACCTTTCGACGGAAAGGACTTCTTCACCTGGTCATTCGAATTCGAGTTGATGATGGAAGGCGCGCAGATACTCGGCTTCTTCGACGGGTCCCTGCTATACCCAGCAAACGACACACAGTACGAGAAACAACAGTACACCTATCAGTCAATGATGGCGTACACGATTCTACTGAGGAACGTCACACCAACTCAGCAGCAGAACATACGGTCTTACCGGGCCTTCGGCAACTCGGCGGAGCTTGCATACAGCCACCTGAAGAACCTGTATCAAGCAACAGACAGCGTAAACCAAAGCAGGTTAATGGCGCAACTGACAACAGTCGAAATGAAACCAGGAGAAAAGGGGCTAGCATATATCAGTCGCTGTCGCGAGTTGCGCGACAAGCTTCTTCGATGCGGAGGGTCAATATCTGAAGACGCCTTCGTGACAGTCATCATCGGCGGCCTCGGTCCCCAATGGCGCGCAACAAAGGCCATCCTCCGAGCCCACGGAAGAATCTCCGAAGCAGCACTCTGCGCCGAAATCCACGCCGAACAACAAGACATGGACCTGCAAGAAGAAAGGCACAAGAGAAAGACATCAGCACTGGAATTCGCGTTCCACACTCAGCGACGTTACAACAACTACAACAATCGACAGCAACAACCGAAGCCAGTACCTCCCTTCTGTCACATCTGCAAGACGTCAGGGCACCCACGCACGCACTGCCCAAATCGACAACAGACAACACCTCCACAACAGCGACAGCTTCGACCTTCAAGCAACCAGGTCACATCAACGCAAGCAAATACCACGACCCAACTTCAAGCCTCAACGACTTCAACGGGACAATCTGCACAAGGAACAAGAAACATCGTCAGCTGCATGGCAAGACTGAGCGACTCCTGCATCACGGAATCACCACCGTACTACTCACCAGAAGAACAACTCGACGAAGCTACACCTCGCCGCGAAGCACTTCAACCGAATCCGACATACGCCGCCATCGCCCAAAGCGAACCATCCGGGAAGGACACGTGGTTCTTGGACAGTTGCTGCGGACAGCACATGTGTTCTTCCGGGCGCTTCGTGCAACGAGAATATCAACTTCAACGCGAAGTAGTCATCACCGTCGCCAACAACCAGAACCTGCGCAAACGACGACAAGGAATCTTTCAACTTCAGTCACGTGAAACGAACGTAATCCTGCAGATGTCCAAGGTTTTAATCGCAGAAGGCCTCGGATACAACTTAGTCAGCGTCAGTCATCTTACAACTTACAGATGGCGAAGGGCATTCATCTTGAAGCAGACAGCACCACCCAGGAGTTCAAGCTATACCACGGGAGAGGAGGTCTTTACATCGGGAAGGCAGTCTTAAAGAACAACGTCTTCGTCCTCGACTTCGTTCCCGACCTCGGCACCGCCGACAGCGACGCCATCGTCAACTTCACCAACTGGACACACCCTCCGGATCTTGACCCCGACTTCAGTCCAGGCGGCTTCTGGTATTCACATACCATTCCTGAGACAGAAAGGACAAGAGCGTTAGCAACAATTCAACATTCGGCAGCAGCAGAGACAACATCGGCAGCAGCAGAGACAACATCGGCAGCAGCAGAAACAACATCGGCAGCAGCAGAGACAACATCGGCAGCAGCAGAAAGCACATCGGCAGCAGCAGAGACAACAACGGCAGCAGCAGAAACAACGACGGCAACAGGAACGACAACACCAGTTGCTGGTCCTTCTACGGCACCACCCTTCGTCGATGACACACCACCAACACCCGCACAACAGCTTCAGCCAGCACCGCGAGAAGTTCACCGCAGCGCCAACTTCACCGCCGGCTTCTACTCCAACTCCGACATGTATCGACGCTCACCCGGACACCGCGCCACCGAAGGAACTTGGTCTCAAGATAACTAGGCAAGAATGAATGAACTAGCAGAAGTTTGGGTACAAATATGAAACCCTAGTTGGGGTTGTACCCCATATTGGCTACCCCACTACAGCCTACAAGCATAATACAGTTTGACACAACCCCATAGGCAAAGTGGGGGAGAACAAAGGGTCACAAGACCAGTCCAGCAAAGCAAAGCAAAGCCCAGGGTGGATCACAACGTCACCACACTCCGAGCACAAGTAAAGGCCACAAGGCCAGTTCACATGCAGTGCTAGATATAGTACAAGACAAGCAACACAGTGATCAAAACCTAGCAAGCAAGCAACAAGATATATATAAAGTACAGTACAAAGAATGTCAAGCAGTGAGCAAGTGAGGAAACGTGGACACAAGGCCTAAAGAAGTACAGTGCCGCTGAT